TGTGTCTTTTAGAATGATAGTGCTATCGCAAGGGGGGTTAATGACGCGCCAGAACTTGCGAATGTCTGTTTTGATCATGTCTGGTAGTGTGTGGGTTAGGTAATAATTTTTAGCTTCCTTTAGGGCAGATATATATGTCTGATTAGCAGTTTCATAAGATTCCCAGCGTGCTTGGTTAGAAGATGATTTAGCCGAACGATAGAGCCGTTTCTTTTTGTTAGATAGGCGCTTGATGTATGAGTTATGCCAAGGGGCATGTGTGTTGGAAGTGATGGTACGATTAGGAATGTATTTTTCTGTCAACAGACGTACCTGATCGGCAAAAATACACCAGCTAATCTTGACAGAACGCGTATCAAAGTTAATCAAATAACTGTCGACAAATGAGCCCAATGCATTGTTAATTGCCTCAAAATTAGCTTTCTTATAATCACGAATAATTTTCTTAACCTTAGTTGTTTTAGGAGCGCTACCGTTAATAGCAAAACTTATTAAAGAATGATCGCTAATACTAGGCAGAAAAGTTATAGGGGAAGCTAGATCTGTACGATTAGTTAAGACTAAGTCAAGCGTGCTCGCAGTGGTGGAAGTGATTCTGGTCGGCTGGGTAACGAGTTGGGACAGGAAAACACGAAACAAAGTTGGCGAAATTCTCTCGCCTGAGTTGAAAAGGCTGTTATACCAGGCGGTTTTGTGCTCCATAACAGATTGGGAAAATTAAAATCACCGAGTAAAAACAAGGGTGATGAGGAAAACCGAGATGAAACGAGGTTAATAGCATCATGTAAATTGTCGATGAAGGTGCAGATGATGAAGGTGAGCGATAGCATACACCAATGATTATCTTTGTATGACTGAGTGTTAAGCAAGCCCATGTGCATTCAAGCTCGGTTTTAAGGTCTATATGAAACGACGGAACATCTTTAGAAATGGCGAGAAGAACACCCCCTTCTCGGCGCTCAGTGTGCTCACATCGGTAGACGGTGAAATTAAAAGGGCCATGAAATATATCACAATCAAGCACATGTGCAGGAAGCCAGGATTCGGTAAGGGCGACAATTTTAGCGCTGCACGTGTCGATTGCTGATGACAACGAAAAGTATTTGTTTACAACACTTCTTGCATTTGTAAAAATAATGGGCAGGAAAAATGTGTCTGCATGAGGCAATCGGCCACTTTCCTCGTTGTTTTACTATTGTGCCGGAAACCGTGCATTCGCGCGATTTAGTCCAGTACTTGTTGCATACTGAATCAAATCATGTACAGAATTGTTGGTAGCGTCGTACACGTAGCATTTATTGTCCAAAAATAATTTATTGTAACGAAGCTTGAAGTTGGAAGAGCCAGGCTGGGTGGTACCAAATTGAAAGAGTTTTTTGCGGGCGGACTCTGAGTAAAGACACGTTTTCGCCACCTATCTCGGCTACTCCAACGACAGCAACCCGGCACGTCACTTTAACGCAACGCTGTGATCTCGTTACCTTTACTGGAGAGAATAGCGCGAATGTAGACAAGTAGCTCAGAGCTCAGTATGTACGAACTTGTCCGCAAACAGTATGGCTGGGACCCAACTGTTATGCTCACGAATGTTGTGTTCTATCTCGACAAGACTCTTCGTGTCTGGTTCAAGAGTCACGAGCATGTAGTCATAAGCTGGGAAATGTTTGAACAGTTCCGCAACCTTTTTTGGCAACCCATTAGGTCAACAGCTTAATGGTTGGAAACAATTGGTTTTATGTACACAGATGTCAGTTGAGCCTTATTTGAGCTATATTCAAGACTTGTTAGCCTTGTGTCAAAAGGCCAATCCCAACATGGTCGAGGCTGACAAGGTCTCACACATTTTCAAAAGTATCGCCGACAATGCGTTCGCTGCTTGTCTTTACAAACATAATCACCATTGATGCTGTAATGAAGGAGCGTCGCCGTCTCAAGCAGGCGAAGAGTCAACGCATTTCACACCAGTTCCACCACCTACCCAACACCGCTATAATGTTGTCTTGCGAAACCACCTCTTGTCAGCCGTTCACAATTAAAGACTTGATGCCTCTTTGTCCAACGTGAACTTGAGCCCACAAACCTGTTTGCAAACAAACCGACTTGGTCCGACACCTCGACGCCAGCTGTCTTCTTGATCCAGGCTATTGTCCGCCAGGAATTCTCTAACCTGGATTTCTTGTTCACTGTATGCGCCATGAACAATACTGATGCCTCAATAGCTTCTGTGAAAATTAATCACCACTGTTTATACTCCCTTCTGATCAGGAACCCGTCTAAATGACTAACAGCTGATGATAACCCTAAAAAGTTCTGGAGAACGATTTCCCTAAATAGCGTGGTAATGACGTTTCCTTACACCACAATAACCTAACACAACTTTCTGCTCAAGGGTGTGCATCTGAACTCAATAATTTCTTTTCATCTGTTTTCACTCGAGAGTATTATTTCAACGTGCCAGCTGTTCCTGGTACTGACTTTCGCTTCATGGAACCAATCGAAATTTCGCTGGATGGCATAATGTGTCAGATTTCTAACCTTAAACTATCATCATCGTGTGGTATTGATAAGATCAATTCTTAAGTACTTATACATACCTGCTTGATTTTGGGTCAGATATTAGTTCACATATTCAAGCAGTCACTATCATCAGGATGATTAACGGCAGATTGGAAAATTGCTAAAATTATTCCCGTTTTAAAAATGGCAGTCGTGAGGCAGCTGAAACTTATCGTCCCATTTCATTGACATGTATCAGCTGTAAAATTTTAAAACACATTATTTTATCACATCTATACAGCCACCTCGAGTCCAATAAACTTTTTTTCAGTAATTGGCATGGTTTTCGCAGAATCTTATCATGTGAAACACAAATACTTGAATTAACCACCGATCTACATTCTAACATGGATGATATAATGTTCAAACTGATGGCATTTTTCTCGACTACTCCAAAGCGTTTGATCACGTAGCACATTGTTATCTCATTGCATTAGAATCGACAGCTCAACATGTCATGGATTCGAAATTTTTTATCTTGTCGCCTTCAATTCACAGTTGCAAATAACTACTCTTCTTCTCTCACCAACGTAATATCCAGTGTACCACAGGGTTGTGTCCTGGACCCTTTACTGTTCTTAATTTTCATCAATGACATTAGTACTAACATCAGTTTCATTAGTGTTGAAGATTGGGCGAGTTGGTTCGTCGTACTTGAACTGGCATTTATAGCTGAAAAGCTATTAAAAACAGATAAAGAAAAGCTGCAACTCCGAGTCTCAGCCGGAATCTAACGACCGAAAAAGACCCGTAGTTTTACCCTACGTGCATAACATTTCCCACCGGCTAAAAAAGATAGGGGAGAAATGCAGCGTCAAAGTGGTGTTTTCAGGGCCGGATAAGTTACAGCGGCTTGGCAAAGCAGTCAATCCTCTCAAATCACGTATTACTGGTTGCGCAACCAAGCACAAAACTCGGTTTGTGCCGTGTGTAGCGGGGGTTGTTTACGCGATTCCATTCTCATGTGGTAAGTGGTATTTCGGCCAAACGGGGCGCTGCCTTAATGAAAGGCTAAAAGAGCACCATTATAATGCTCACAAAGCAACCCAGGGCCACATTGGAATTCACTGCCGCGATTGTGGATGTTCCCCCATGTTTGATCAATGTGAAGTGGTAAAAAAGCACCCGTCACAATTAACTCGGGAAACTATAGAAGCACATTGTATAGCAAGAGCTGGCAGCACGTGTATTAGCGCCCCTTCTTTGGTTTTATCTGAACATGAAGTGGCCTTCCTTAATCAGGATAAGCGCCTATGAATCTGTGATATGTGACGGTGCGATGTTGTGTGTAATCTTGTCGTTGCGTTAGGGTGGTTTTGTATGCTTGCGCCGGTCTACATTTTTGATGCAGTTTGACAATAAAGCTCAGTTGGAAGTTAGCACTCTGTCCTCTTGTGTCGGCCTGCTCGGCCGTTTCTTCTTCCCCGTAATGTGCTATACCAGTTCAAATCAGTTCCATTGTAAGGCTTTTTGCTGATGACTGTGTTGTTTATCAGGTTATAAAATCTGCTGGTGACCATCATATCTTTCAACGTGATCTTAACGCAATAAACTGCTGGTGTGATAAATGGCTCATGACCCTTAACTCATCTAAGAGGAAAGGTAGTGTCATTCAGTCGAAAGCACTCTACATGTAACTTTCCTTATTCTATAAACAGTACAGAACTGCCTCGTGCTTCATCATACACTTATCAAGGAATAAATTTAACTTCCACCCTCTCTTGGAAAGAGCATATAACTTCAGTGTGTGCAGAGGCATCCAAAACACTTGGGTATATGCACCGTAACATGCGTCATACTAACCCTAGTTTACATAAAATAGCTTATCAGACCTTCGTTTGCATACTTAGATGACGAAGATTTTGAGCTGGTGCCAGCCACGAAATCGCAAGGTGTCCTTTACAACGGAGCTGTGTCCCAGCGAGGTGACTCGTGGCAAACGAACAGGAATGTCTTAAACAGTTGAGCAGTAATTCACTGCTTCAGCAGACATAGAGCGTTTCGGCCACACAGTCTTGTGCCTGACCGTTATGGGGTAAGAGAGGGAGATGTGTGGCACGGTGCCTCACTTACTGGAACATGCCCACTCTGCGTAGTGTAAGCGATGGGCAGCCCAGTGCGCCCTCCAGGTGTGTGGATCGGACTACACTCCGAGGGCTGGCGCATCCGTGCGCCTGTTAAATAAAGGCTTTTTGTTACCAGCGAGATCTCCGGAGAGTCGCCTCTGTTTCGCGTTCCTCAAGTTCACGACAGAAGTGTCTAGGCATCATTTCCTTTACTTTTGCATCCTCTTTTGTCTGTTTATTGTTTTCATAGAACATTTGTGTCCGCTTTTCTCTGAGGAGGGCTTACTGTCTTCTTGTTAAAAAACACTCCATTGTTGGGTAAACGTGAGGTTGTGTGAAAGTCTTCGGCATTTTGATGATTCGTCACTCTTGATGCAGAGAGAAGTGGCCGACTCTTATGCCAACAATGCCCGGATCATCGAAAAGCAGCTGGAACGCAAAGGAATGAATAAGCGCAAGTTGATTGAACAGGTGAGTGATTGAGTCAAAAACAGCTTTAGCCAATTTCACTTGAAGGAGCGTGAAACTTATGTTAATAACCTCAAGCGCTCTCTTGGCAGCTTTTCTTAGATTAAAGTGTACTTGCAAAGTCTCAAGCAACTGTCATTTTGTGGCCATAGCACATTTGCTGACCTGGTCTTCAATAAGGAAACTCGTCTCATAGTTCTGCTCATTTGTGAGGAACTTTCGTGAAAGAGTGATGTAAAGTGTGCAGGAGAAAATTAATGCGAAGGTGGGAAGGAAAACGTAGCCAACATTTTTTTTTCTTTTTTAGTTTATGCATGAAATAAGTGCTGAGGCAACTACTGGCGTGTCGCGTTGTGTACTGTATGTGTAGTGTCCGTTAACTGCAGTTTCATTCTGCTGCAGTTCTTGTTATATTGTTGCCTATTTGTTTTTTTCTTGTGTGTAATTTACAATCGTGATATGGCAGCTATCATATTTGCTTGCGGAGATAATGACCTGAATTTCGTCACCAGATTCTTTTTCTTGTTTCGCATTTTATCATTCCACCCTAAATTTACTGTGGCATCGTACTGTCACTGTGGCGAGTCCACGTGTTTTGCAGTTATTGCGAGGCAGCCACTACGCAGAACAGTGACACGTTGCTTTATGCCGTTTCTCCATGAATTTGGTCGAGCATTGTATCACACAATTTATCTCATGGTGACATTAAAAACGAGGAATAGTCCTGTGGCTACAAAGAGGGTTGTGGGAACAATGCATCGTCGACATTCTTCACGCGTGCATTGCCCCACGTAGTGCAACATTTTATTCCTGACATGTTACAGGATTGCACAATGTGTTCAACTTGGTTGGTCCAAAGGCTGCCTTACAGACGGCATCTGTTACCATGTGACTGTCTGATAAAGGCTGCGTATATATGACTTTCTAAAACTAGTATCACTGTTTACAGTCAAAAGTTTCGGATGAAGAAGCAGTTGATTTGCGATGTTTTCAAAACAGGCCCTGTAGCAACAATCTATCTGCGATATCGCAAATTTTGTACTGCCTTTATCTCTTTTTTCTTACAGAGCCTTTCTTTGCAAGGAGAGTGAAAAGCCAAAGCTCTTTATCTTTTAGTGATCGTCTGCAGCAATAAAGACAAGAGAGATCCTCGAGAACTTTGCTGTTTGGCACAATTTTGGGTTCCTTTCCGGTTGCCTGCAGTGACTTTGTAAAGTAGCAACCAAAATTTATTGTACCTGTTTTCTTTAGTGCTGCAGAAAACTCACTGGGCATAATGTCTTAACATGGCTCCCCTTGTTTCGATGCTACTAGATGCTATTGAAATCACCGCAAAAGTGTGTGTGGATGTGCAAATATCAGACATTTCAACTACATTATATCCAGATTGTGGTTGGGCATCTGTTTCTCACTGATCACAACCACTTGAGTGAGCACCGTGTCTAGACAGAATTACATTCCTGCATCAATTATTGTAAATAGGATTTCTCTTTACCCAGCAAGCTTCTTGCAGGTTTTCTATTTTGCCGTGCATAGAAATGCCAAAATGTTTGTTGTTTGTTTTGATATTGAAGATAATTTTCACATGCAGTTAAGAAATCCTCTGAAGTTAATAGCAGAATGCTTGGAGTTCCTAACATGACTGTAGGTGTTACTGCTGTGGGTTGCCTCCCCACAGCAGTTTTGATGTGACCTAGCATTTTTGTTCTGTTCTTTACAGATTCCTCAGGGGGAGCTAGATGTGAAGAAAAAACTGGTCAGAGGCACTCTTATTGATAAGCAATGACATATCAGTATGCACTGCTTGCTGAGTCTAGACCAGTCGCATTTATTATGAATAAAACATTTTCCAATGTACTTATTATCTTTCAAACTTTTTTGTTCAAATTTGAGAATGAGTAGAGCCATGTTGATAACGCAGTCCAGGTTCGTTACAATGTCATATCTGATGCTAATTGCTTCATGTTTGGAAATGCCAGTGCATGAACGTAGCAAAAAAATTCGGCAGATCCAATGTACCTTGGGAATCGATGTTATGCGAAGCATGTGGAGGGAAGGTGACCATGTTGTTCTTTTTATTGAGTGAGCCGTTATGAAATGACGCTAAATATATCTACACATGTTGCCATACAGACATGTGTTTAATGCTCGCACTTGTTTATATAACCAGTTGTTAGCACTTGTGCAATGATGCCAACAGCAACATGAGTGTTAGCAACACCAGAAGTGATCAGCTGATATGAAGCGCTGGTGCTCATGAGAATTGTAGCCCTGAACAGTGCGACATAAATCAACTTCAGCAGATAGTACCTAACTACAATTAACGTTAAGCCGATGTAATGGCTGTATCACAGGAGTACATATCTAATGTTTATAAAATTGGACAGCACACACTGATGCCACAAATGACGTTTTAAAAACATTAGGGTCTATTCAAAAAGTAGTTTTGAGGCCTGGCGTGACTGTGTGGTACAATACTTGATTGCCACGCAGAATGCTGGGGTTCAATTCCTGCTGGGACCCTGACATTTATTCTTTGCTTTCATCAGGTGAACACTGCCGACGTCAGGTTTTTCTTAATGCTCACGCGTTAAAATTGCCCGTGTGTGTTCTTGTCATTCCTGGGTAGATACTAAGTGTCAATCACATGTGGCACATACCCGCATATGAGAGGCACATGCCAACCCATGGGTATGTGCCATTGTCTGGTGGAAAGTGTTTGACAACGCAAGCAACAAGACTGCAACATTATTCATATCTTGACCAGGGCGTCATATTCGTCAAACAATCTTACTCTCCTGTACGAATTTTGGTTCTGGCCAAATTAAGAACGTGATCATGAAAGCACCCATACGTAAGTGGCTCGAGAGGTAGGTAGTATCGTAAAAATTGGAATGTAAGTCTGACCAGAATATAGATCGACCCCCAAACTTTGAATCTCCGAAAAAGAAATTTTAAAAAATCGCAAAGTATCGCGGCACGCCCATACTTTGATAAATACACGATACAAACAGCTGCACTGTGGTGACATTTCTTTTTATTTTGACACTAACCTTATGTAGTTAAACGCCAGAAGGCCACAAAACGCTGTCACTCAGGCTCGTCCGAACTTGAGTCTGACGACGTCTGTTTTTCACTAGTACGTCTCACTCATTCTAGGGAGGGGGGGCGGTCGCCTGAAGTAACACCTGTGTGGTCATGACTTTTTTTTTACTTGGAGAAAAATCCCTTCATAGCATAAATACTGTTCACATGTGTTCACAGTGGTTTGACTCATTTATAAATATTGGTAATAGTAGCTGGACTACGAGCACTAATGTAAAGGGGGGGGGTGCTGACACAGACCTACAGACCTTGGGGAGGGCGATCGTCCCTACTGCCCCCCCCCCCCCCCCTGGATCCGCCATTGTAGTGCATCGTCTTCCATTCCATCTAATGCGTGTTACTGATGCAGCATTTGCAGAAAGACGGAAGTACGTCGACTCAGCGCAAAGCTCGTCTGTTTCATAAATCGGCGCACCCACATTGGCGATCCCTTGAATTGCACCCTCGTAAGCCCATAGTCGGGCTTGAGAGCTTTCACGTGGATACTCTCCGCTGTTACAGGTAGGAAACTTACACGCAGCTCCTGGACGAATACAGCGAGTAGCGTTTCTTGTTCGGGGTGCACTGCAGTTCGGCCACAAAACAATGTTTTCTTTTGGTTGTTGCAGGATGTGATGAGCTGCTTTTGGGTTCTCAAGTATGGGACACTTTTCTCCGATCTACCGAATTCCCATTGTGCCACCAGGTTGCCGTGCGCTACGACATACTCAGTAACTTTTTTTAAAGCCTATCGTAAACTGTCATCGACTACCACTCATTTCTGAAGGGAAACGAAAGCAGCAGACTGGCAGCAGGTAACTGGGGCAAAATAGCATTGCTAGAATACTGTAGCTCTTCCCTAGCCTTGCCCAGTGGTGCCGCTGCTGATGCTCTAAATGGCAATGGAAGCTTTGACTTCAGCTGCTCATTGTTGCGAGACTTCCACATTTTTTTTGCCAGTGATTGATACATAAGATGAGGGTCGACTTTAGGTAGTCGGTCGGTCCTAAAAAACCGCTACTTAAAGTCGACCCTCATCTTATGTCCAATCATTGGCAAAAAAATGTGGAAGTCGGTGCCAAAAGTGTTTGCAGCACGCAAAGAAATGCTTCACACTTAAAATGGGACAGCAAGAAAAGAGCGCTACTTCGGTGCTCTTTTCTACTCTTTCCCATATTTTCCTATGTTGGAGCACTGTGAAATTTGCCACCATGAACCCAGACCATATAATTGATTTTTTTTCTGTCTCATTGCTAGGTGGTGGCCTCTCGACTTGGCCACAGCTAAAATATTTAGATTGAGTTGCTCGAAAACATCTACGGGGTTCAGAGGGCAGTCATCTTTATGGCCTTGCTAGCTCAAATTAGCCGAGTTTACGTTATTTGTCACATGCTTGCACAGGTGCATAAACTCTTAAAATTTCAAGTGTTCCTTATGTACACATGCTACATATGGCTCAATAAGTTACTTTTCGAGTGAAACCATAACTTTCAGCAATGATGCCCTTGTGCAGGCACTTTTGGTGCAACAGTGATTGTGCAAGTAATATAGTTAATCAATGCATATTTGCCTGGCAAGGAAAAAGATTTTGTGGCTACTTCTTCGTAGCAAAGGGTGATGTCCTGGTGTCTAAACACTCCTGTAATGTTTGGCATCTACAGAACCTGCCTTTCACTCAAAAAAAAAGAAAAAAGATTGAGTAAAAGGGGTGTATTTTTGTCCTACAACAGTAATAGTCATCTGGCTTGCTTGAGCTTCCTTTCTTGAAGGGTCGGCGCTGGCCACTTTCCTACCCAGACCGCTATAGATGTCAGACTTTTCCTAGGCGGCCCTGCGAAAAACGCTGCCACCAACGCCCTTATCACAGCACAACCATAACTGGGTAGTGCAAAAAGCCACGCGCAAGGGAGCATGAAAGGCCCTCCCCTTTCATTGGTGTTGAGGCCTGGCAAGCTTCTTCTGTCTATCCAACCTCGCTTCAGAAAAGTGCTAGTAAGCTCATCAAAGCTAACTGTGGCTACAATGCAAAAGATGTTTCAGTTATTTCGGTGTGCAGCAACTAACAATTTAGGTGCAAACGAGCATTGCATGACATCAAGTTCAAGGCAAGCACTTCCGTGCACGTTCTGTAATGCCTAAGTGCGTTAAATTTGGGCATGCACATGATGCCAAAGCGATGAAGTGCATACACATGCAATGTATTTTATGATCAGTGGTATGAAGCTCGCTTTATCTGGCAGGAATGGCCCCGTGGCAATTTTAGTCTTCGCAGTTGCATTCTCGACCTATCTATCTCTTCCTGTGCTTATAGGTGTCTTATTATGCATCCTAGAATGTTCTGTTGATAGTTGTCTTCTGTTTGTATACACTGCAAATGAGGATACATGTGTGTCTATTTTCACGGTGTACAGTGAAAGGTAAACCAATGCCTTCGAGATAGCTCTGGCAATCGCGAAGACCATCGGCAAGAAAAACCAGATTGTGGTCAGGAACAACATTTTGTGATTTATCTGTATGGCATACTTGTTCGCATTTACTAGTTCAGACCGGAACTAGAGCCTTCAAAGCCTACATGCACGATGCTGTGGGGTGGCGACCACTTCAGGTTATCCGTGGTCACGGCATGTGCGAAGTTTATTGCGCTTGTCACCGGTCTACTGTTGCACGTTGTGCACTGCGGTCAGAGTCTCTGTTGAGCTTCATAACCAAAGTTATTACTGTTCCCTGTCAAGGCTACTCAAAAGAATAATAGGAGACCTACATTATCAACGCAACATTCGCAACGGCTCCTGCATCCAGCGCTCTCGCCGTTCTGCATCGTGAAAGATATGGAAATCGATAAACTGAAGTCCTTTACGCCTGTGGCAATTCCTTACCCAAAGGTGCCGTCGACTGAGGTCTTCCTTCGTAGAGCGCACTGCTGTTGCCTCAGCTCTTGTTCTCGCCGCTGTTCTGGCGAGTGATTCAGCAAGCACTACTTTGGCGGTTCGGTGACGCGCTTGACTAGCGAAGAGAAATTCGTAGCCCTGCTTCTGAGTGTTCAATTTGTCAACACATGTAATATTTAGCTCTATCATTGTTTCGCACATGCTAGTTCCACCTGGTGCAGGCGAGTCGGGCTTTGCACTACCCAAAACTGCGCCGACAGGTAGCATTACGTATCTGCCAAACCCCAGAGTCTGACGTCTATGCCATGCTGATAACGTGCTTGTCATCCGTGGTTTTCCGGGCGCGTGGCGATAATGCGAGGAAAGGAACACAAGATACATAACGATTTTGTAGTGGGATGTCATTTTTACTCGATTTTTTTGTGGAGCGCTGGCCTTTTTACATTAAACAGGTGAGGATGCTGTACAGCAATGTACAATATGGTACTTCTCAAATGATTTCTGTCTGCGCCACCACATCTTGTATATGTTCTTACAGAGAAATAGAATAGTTTGAGAAAGCAGTGCATGTTTTGAATAACAACCTGCCATGTCGCATTTGGGTAGTCATGTACCACGTCCCAAAACATTAGAATGGCTTTCATTTGAGCTAGTAGCTGATATTGCAGCTAAATTCTAATACACAAAGGGAAGAAACAGGGATAGCTAGTGTTGACTTGAGTGTATTTCTTTTCTTTGTCCCGGTGCTTTTAAATTTAGCTGCTACCGCTCGACATCCTAAGCCATGATGTGATTATAAGAGTCTCCAGAAATCTTGAACATTTGGTGTTCTCTAATGTACACTCGCATCGCGCACTACATGGGCCTTAAGCATTTCGCCACAGC